GGGGACCCAGACAAAATGGGTTAATAGCACAGCTCAGACATTCTCATCTGCAATACCTTTCTTTCCTTTCCGTTGAGAGTCTAGTTAAGTTTAGTGCACAGCGAAACCAGTAGTCAACACGACTAGCCCTTTTGCTGCTTCAATACTTGAAGTGACTGACTCCACCCCACTCCAAGCCTCGCAAGGACAAAGAACTGACCACCAGCTAACCACATGCTCAACAGAGGAAGTTCATCACATCATAAAAGAAGCGCAAGTAACACTTCCAGACTACTGTACCAATGAACTGTTGTAAACTAAATATAACCCTAAAGAGACCATAAAGGGTTAAATTGAATATTTTTGGTTCACTCGGTTTTCTTCCTATACTCTTCTCTACAATTGTTAGAATGTTTGGTTTAGGTGTTTGTTTCTGTTAGATTAGTCAATAAAGTTTTGTTTTGTATAAAGAAAGGTGCCTGTGCATGTTTATGAATGTCTTAAACTTATATCTTGTTACCATGCTTAAACATAAATAGGTTTATATTTTTGATTGTAATAGCCATAAATGAAGTCAAATGTCGGTTCAAACGATTGCTGGACGATACCTTTGTTTGGATTGAAAGAGTTGATTCTTTTAAAGCCTTGTACAAATTAATGTTCAATTCCATTGAGCTACAAGATCTTCAAGAGTTTTCTGGCTCACAGTGACATTGGCATCATCCTCATTAACCAGTTCATCGCAGAGATGATTTGACATGCCATTGATGCCCACATGCAGTCCATCCTGGCTGTGCTGGAGATTCCTTTAAAAGAGCATTCATATAGATGCATTACCATGTTTGTAAACATTCTGGATGCGCGGGCAGCGAGGTGGCAGAAAAAACTAGGAGTGCTAGCAGTTACAGTGAGGGAATGACATCTGATGGGTTACAGAGTTTGTTGTTGTCTTAGAAATAAGACAACGGCGTTCGTCTGACAGGTCCATTTGCAATAGCACCCTCCCAATGGATATTGTATAAGATGAATTGGCCAAGCATTCAGCTCCAAATATACAATCTCATTTAAGCTCCAAGTGTTTTAACAAAGGAGTAGTTAAATGATCACCAGATGTTTCATGATCACCAGATTCCAAACTTTGTAGTGCTAAAAACCGAGGTTTTGCCTAGCCAAAGACAAAGAAAGAAGACGGAGCTATACAAGGCCTGGGTAATCATCAACAAGCAAAACAATTGCATTCTGACAGTGAACTACACCTGTATGGCACTTCATTCAGCTCCCTTTTTGCCAAAGATGTCTGCGGTTGGCGTTAAAAGCGGTAAAAGTTAAGTTGTCTGTTTTTCAAATTTGGCATCCTTCTGCACCACAACATGTTTGCTGTTGCCACCAGTCTCTTTTTGCAACCGGGAACCCGTGTGATGTCATGTGTGAAGTAGGTGGGTAATTCGTTTATAGGTAACACATCATTGCATGAGCCTAACTTATGTTGTATTATTATTCCCTTGTAGTGGTCATTGCAGTTTTGTCCAAAAGTGTAATTATTAGTTAAACTTGGCCATAAGAGGTGTCAGCAGGCCATATTATATACAGTGGAAGTTTTCTACCCATCATTCACCCCATAGTCTTAAAACCAATTTACCCCTTCTAATATTGACCATAGTGGCAGGAAATGTGACATGATTGAAACCTGCTTTACACGCAAGTCAAACAAAGAGGCAGGAAACTCAGTATCTGACTTCGGGGAAAGAGAAACTGATATTAAGTTGCTTCATGTTTGTATTGTAAAGTAAAAATGGCAGAGGCCTGATTTTCTCAGCATGAGTTCTTGTGTCCAGTGTGTCTGAATCTCCTGAAGGATCCGGTGACCACTTCCTGTGGACACAGTTACTGTAAGAGCTGTATTACAAGTCTTTGGAATCATGAGAATTAGAAGAGAACCTACAGCTGCCCGGAGTGCAGACAGATCTTCAGTATAAGACCTGCTTTAGCTAAAAACACCATGCTGGCTGAAGTGGTGGAGAAACTAAAGAAAACAAAACGTCCTGCCGAATGTGACGCTGGAGATGTGCAGTGTGATGTCTGTAATGGTAGAAAACAAAAATCCATCAAGTACTGTCTGGTGTGCCAGGAATCTTACAGTCAAACTCATTTTGAGCGGCACGAGAACTTCTTTAAGAGGTTTCACTCTCATAAGCCACACAAAGTGATTGATGCTACTGGCGGCTGCAGGACATGATCTGCCTAAAACATGAGAAAGAGCTAGAAATCTACTGTATCACTGACCAACAGTGCATCTGTGAGCTGTGTAAGGAGCACGAACATGAAAACCACAAAGTTGTATCCGCTGCAAAACAGAGGACAGAGAAACAGGTATAAAATTGAAGAGACTGTTTGCCAAAAGTTAATTTTAGTCATCATTCACTTACCAACCTGTTGCTCAAAACCAGTTTTACTTTATTTCTTTTGCCAAACTCAAAACACCAATGTAGTTTGATGTTACTATTGTGACACCATACTTGATTTGGTGTCTGTAAACAGTTCACACATTCTTCAAAATATGTTCTGTTCCATAAAAGTAAAATGTAATGGATTTAAGGGCATGAGAGCAAGTAAATGACCGCAGAATTCAAAGGGAAAAGTATTTAAAAAATAGACACTTATGAAATATTTCTTAGGTTTTAGCTTAAAGGGCACCTATGATGAAAAACATCTTTTGTAAGCTGTTTGGAGAGGACTGTGTGAGGGCATAGTGTGTCCACTGTAATATTGGGGTGATATAAACACAAAAAGTCTATTTTTTAAAATTTCCTGATGTTAAAATAGGATCCAAATTGGATTCCTTCCATTCTGAGGCAATTGATTAACAGCCGCTTATTAACATGTCTTCGTAGTAACGAGTATAATCATATCATCAAGACAGGATGTGCACAAAGCAACTGGGATAAAAAGATCTGTTAAGCTCTCTGTAAACATCAATCATCATCAAAAGTGATCAAGAGTGAGGTTTAAAGAGTTCAAAACGTTTTTAAAACAGTGCATGTTTGTAATGAATTACAGCTATGTTACCTTCTATACTTCATTAACACAGCAGCATGTTAGTAAAATTATAAAAAAGACACTTCAATTGATTTGTGAATGATATTTAGGTTTATGTCATACATTAACATAACAGATGTTCATACAGCAATATATATTAACCTGTATCCTGTCACATCTGCAGTGTAAAAACACACATGGTGCAAAGTTTAACACATGGGCTGTGTGTGCGTACATGAACTTTGTAATGACATTGTGTGCATCTCATCGTTGCAACTCCACAACAAATACATCAAATAATCATTGGGAAAGTTCTTAATGTAGTATTTCTCACAAACGTTTTGTGAAATCTGCATCCTACATGTCACTGTGATGTTTATCTATTAGCTGTTTAGCACGCAGCCAGAGATTAAAGGTTGAATTATACTTCTGTGCTTTCTCACGGTTGCATAGCCTTCAAAATGGCCATTTCGCACCTCATAAAAAATGGAACTGCACCTTGCAATGACACGTAGCACAAGTGCTGTGATTGGTCAGCTTAGTATTGCTGAACAAGTGTGGGCAGGGTTAAGAGCCACGCAAACCTGTTGGAGCGAGTGTTAACAAGTGTTGAGTCATGTGAAGGATGGGTCAGTTGGCATTTCTGTGAGGAATTTGCATGTTTTCCCCGTGTTCGCGTGGGTTTCCTTTGGTGCTCCGGTTTCCCCCACAAGTCCAAAGACATGCGGTACAGGTGAATTGGGTATAGGTAAAATTGTCCATAGTGTATGTGAATGAGAGTGTATGAATGTTTCCTAGTGAAGGGTTGCAGCTGGAAGGCCACCTGCTGCGTAAAACATATGCTGGATAAGTTGGTGGTCCATTCTGCTGTGGCAACCCCAGATTAATAAAGAAACTAAGCCAAAAAGAAAATGAATGAATGCATTTTCTTTTTTGTCCAGCATTTGTTTTACCCAGCGTATGCCCTTCCAGCTGCAACCCATATCTGGAAAACACCCATACACACACATATACTACGGACAATTTAGCATACCCAATTCCCCTATAGAGCATGCCTTTGGACTTGTGGGGGAAGCCGGAGCACCCGGAGGAGGCTGGAACTAGCAATCTTCCTGCTGTGAGGTAACAAGCTACCCACTGTGCCACCCTTAATCTATTTTAATAACTTTTAGTTCTTGTTTTCATTTTCTTGTTTCTTTAGTTCTTCTTTATGTAAAGCAATTTGAATGACCATTGTGTCTGAAACATGGTATACAAATAAGCTTGCCTCCCTTTGTATATTTTAAATGCACAATTAGGCTATTGTTTTCTAATTCATTATTTTAGTAGCATTATTAAGCTATATTGTCTTTGAATTCATTATTTTAGTATTGTTTACAGGTGCTAAAACATCCTTATCAGTAGTTCTCTGGTGTCCTCTGCTGGTCTAATTTAGCCTACTCCTGGCCTTTGGTGTTACTGCTTATTTTTTAATAAACATGCCTGTAAATTAATATTGTGGGTTTTTTATTGCAGGACATTTACTTGATTGTGGTTTATGTAATTATTTAGTTTTGGATTTACATTTTGTTGTGTCGCACCAGCATTATTAACATAATATTGTATGACAATTAATTTAAAATTGTATCTATCATTGCATTGTTATTGTACATTTCCTATAAAGTCACAATGCTAATGATTACATATAATTTGCGCAACACAATTTAGATATTACTTAATGTGGACTTTATTGTGTTTTGCACAAATTTAGTTCTGACCAGTAGCTTTAACCGCCCATTAAATAAGTGCATATCAAATTAATACAATTGTATTATAACATTAATAAGTCCACCCTAGCAATCACTTCAAGTTCAAAGTGGACTTTACTGGACGCACACACATAGCCCCCACTTAGGTCAGATATTTCTTGATTCTATTTATAGGCCTACTGTAGTGTCACGTACACACACTGAAACCTACAGAAAGAGCTTTTAACGGGATCCTTATAAAACTGTCGTAAATTATATTTCATTGTTTTCGAGAACTGAATAACTAAATAATATGCAATGCTTCGATTCCAAAAGCCGCCTGATACATATATTTGAACTTTAAAAAATTACACACAAAAAGATTTTCTAAATGAAGACCGTCTAGTAGGTTACGCCTTCTGCATGTGCCAAGAAGTCGCTTTGGCATTCCTCCTCAAGACAGAAAGAACGGGCTTTAATGTCGAGTGTTCAAGAAGACAGGGCGCTTTAAGAGAGTGCCCTACCCACGTGTATGTCAGTTAACGTTATTATTATAGAAACGAGCGACATTTTGCAATTTTTTTAGCCTATATGCGGATTTGAATGCCACGTATGACAGGTATAGCAGGCATACTGACACCTGACAGACGTTATTCGCTTTAATCAGTTGAACTCTCGGGATTAACACTCGGAGTTTATCTCAGGTCAGACCGTTTATTGTCGCGTGTGATCGAACCGCTTCATTCCTTCATTGTGTTGTTACGGAATAGACCGATATTTAGTCATGACAGAGACGCGTGTTTCGCGCTGGTATTTCGGAGGAATTGCCTCGTGTGCGGCCGCCTGTTGCACTCACCCTCTTGACTTGATAAAGGTACATTAACCATGTATGTAGCGTACTGCATGTGTGGAAAAGTGTGCATGTGTATAAAACATAGACCAGCTTAAATTGTTACATGGATAATTCTTACTTTATGTCCTTTGGTTTTGTATATATATATATATATATATAAAATGCTACCTTTCTATTATATTTTCATATTATTCAACCTCCTTTTATGTGTCAAAATCACTGTTTTCATCTTGCTGTACACCCAGACTTGGTGAAATAACATTGAAAAAAACATTTTAAAATATTAGTCATCTGGTAACTATTAATGTACCTTAATTAAACACCAGTGAAATGATTTCAATATTTTATAGTTATTATTGTGAGACTACTATCATTATAATTTTTTATACAAAATATAGCTGTCACACAGTATCTGTGTCATTTCCACCACAGAAAATCAAGGTGAATTTTGCTTGATAAATGTTTTATATTTATTCTTCGTCATTCCAAACATGGTGTACCTTTTAAAGGGCACCTATGGTAAAAAAAATCTACTTTTCAAGCTGTTTGGACAGATCTGTGTGTTGGTATAGTGTATAGACCGTTATACTGGGGTGATATGAACACACCCAGTCCTTTTTTTTCAATTTAACTACAAAAAAAAGGGTCGGCCAATTGGAGCTGTTTTCAAATCGATCGCACCATTACGTAGGTGTGCGATCTCCCCGCCCACCGAATTGATTGACAGCTGCGCGCATTAACATGTTCCGGTAGTCGCGTGTATATGTCAACAAGACCAGGCAGAAATACGCAAAGCAACCGGGAATAAAAGGTCTGTTCTGTTCGCTAGGATCAGCAATCATCATCAAATGTGATTAAGAGTAAGTTTCACATGTTTAAAGTGTTTTAAAACAGAGTATGTGTGTAATTAATTACAGCGTTTTACTTCAGCTTTACTTCATCAGCACAGCCGCGTGTCAGAACAATTATAAAAGAAGACGCTTCAATCCCGGTTTGTGGAAGTTAAATCAGGTTTATTTTGTACATTAGCATAACAGATATCAACACAGTACTTGAGGTTAGCCTTAACTAAGCTAAGTGTGCTCTGTCTGCCTGCCTGTGTGTGTGTGTGTGTGTCATCTGTGGTGTGTGTGTGTGTGTGTCATCTGTGGTGTGTGTGGTTGTGTGTGTGTGTGTGTGTGTGTGTGTGTGTGTGTGTGTGCGCGTTAACTTTTTAACGATATTGTGTGTGACTCATCAATGCAACTTCACAATACTGATTAGTAAAGGTTAGTTCTTACTGTAGTATCTCACAAACGCTACGTGAGACCTTCTTCCTTTAAGTCTGTCGGTTGTCTAACGCAGCTGAGGGAGTAGGCATGTAGTGGGCGAGAAAGTGGGCGGGAAAAAATCGTCTTAAAGGCGCAGTACGACAAAACCACCCCCTGCTGGAAATCAGTATAAAACAGCATCTTGTAAAAGGTATAATGAAAAATCTGATGGGTATTTTGATCTGAAACTTTATATACACATTCTAGAGACGCAAAAGACTTATATTAAATCTGAAAAAAGGGGTAACCTAGGTGCCCTTTAAAAGTGTTTTGAAAAAGCAAACACAAATAAGGTATATACATGAAATGCTAGTATCAATTCATGGCTAATAGATGAAACTATCTTTAATCTTTTCACAATAAACTATAGAAATGTAATTTCCACCACTGTGATTTCCACCACACTGCACCCTGTGGTGGAAAAGACAGCATGTGGCAGAAATGACATTACTGGTAGAAAGATACAATCGATGTGGATTGCGAAAGTACAGGGTTTGGACAATGAAACTAAAACACTGGCCAGTTTAGTGTTGTAGGTTTCATGACTAAGTTTAAGCAGCTAGTACCTGGTCTTCATTAATTGCACATTCCACATTAAAAGAGCATAGTAAGAAGGTTTAATTATCAGATTAACAGCGCTGTTTTGCTTAAAATATTGCAATGCACACAACATTATGTCATATGGTGACATATCAGAGTTCAAAAGAGGACAAATTGTTGGTGTGCATATTGCTGGCGCATCTGTGATCAAGACAGCAAGTCTTCATAATGTATCAAGAGCCACGGTATCCAGAGTAATATAAGCAAATCACCAAGAAGAAAAACACCATATCTGACAGGATTAACTGTTGGAACAAGAGGAAGTTGTCTGAAAGGTATGTCCGGGAGCTAACATCGATTGTATCCAAAAAACATAAAACCACAGCTGCAGACTCACTGCTGAATCTCACTCACAACTGAACTCTCCTGTTTCCACTAAAACTATTGGTAGGAAGCTCCACATGTTTAATATACATGGCCGAATGCTTTAGCCAAACCTTTGCTCACTCTTGCCAATGCTAAAGCCTGTTTCAATGGTGCAGCAGCCAAAATTTTGGGCTGTAGACAATGTGAAACATGTATTGGTCACTGGTGAGTCCACCTTCAGTGTCTTTCTCACATCTCTGAGAGTTACAGTGTGGAGAAGCCCCAAAGAAGTGTACCACTCAGACTGTTGATGCCTAGTGTCAAGCATGGGGGGATCAGTGATGGTTTGGTCTACAATATAAATGGCATTTAGGCCATGGACTACTGAACTATTCTTGAGTACTATGTGCATCCAGTGGTTCAAACATTGTATCATAAATGCAGTGGCGTGTATTAGGATGATAATGCACCAATACACACAGCAAGACTGTTGACAGAGTGGTCTGATAAATATGAAAGTGAAGTTAAACATCTCCCAGGACCTGCACAGTCACCAGATCGTAATATTAATGATCACTTTAAAATGTTTTAGAGGAGCGGGTAAGTAAACCTTTTCCTCCACCAGCATCACGTAGTGACCTGATCAATATTCTGCTAGAAGAACAGCTCAAAATCCCCCTGTCCACTGTGCAGGACCTGTATCTGTAATTCCCAAGATGATTTGATGCTGTACTGGCCACAAAAGAAGGCCCTACCGGGCGTTTCAGTTCTCCAACCCCTGTATATATACAAAGGTTCATGAGCAAGCCTGGTCTCAAACAAACATTGATGCATTATCAACCTGATATATGGCACCGCCTTCAGGATACAATGTTTGAACCATTGGGTGCACCAGAATGGTTTGCTAGTCCCTGGCAATGAAGCACCCATCTAGCACAAATATTGGGCCAAGGAAATGTCATGATATTGCAGCTCAAACCACCACTGATCCACCCCCATGGTTAACTCTGGGCATGCAACAGTTTGGGTTGTACTCTACACCGTAACTCTCCTGGATGTGGGAAATACAGAAAAGGACATTGTCCACAGCCAAAGATTTTTGCTGCTTGCACCATTTAAGCTGACATTTGGCATTGACACGAGTGACTTAAGCACCCAGGCCATTTATATTAACCTTATGGAGCTCCTCGATGAATAGTTTTAGTGGAAACATAAGAGTTAACTCTGCAGTAAGTGTTTTAGTTTCATTGTCCAAACACTGTATGTGTGTATAAACACAAGCACATTTTAGAAAAACCAAACTAATCAATGAAATCAGATCTATCTGTCTGGCTGTCTCTCTATGTGTGTGTTTGTGTGGGTCTTGTTGGCAATAAAACAGCAGGCCAAGTTTTGAGTTAAGTTGGCTATTAACTTGTCATCCACCTTCAGGTTCATCTGCAGACCCAGCAGGAGGTGAAGATGAGAATGACTGGCATGGCTGTACAGGTGGTGCGCAGTGATGGAGTGTTTGCACTCTACAATGGCCTCAGTGCCTCCCTCTGCAGGCAGGTCAGTGTCTACGCAAAGGATTTGCATTTTTCCAAGCTTTTTGGTCAACATGGGTCATTGGAAATATGTGCTTTGGCTTACTTTTTTGTGAAACTGCAAAACGTTTTTTAACAGTCTGTTTGACTACTGTTTTTAGGTTGATTAAATGCTGGAGGGCAACTTTTCGTCTGTAAATATCACTGATGATAATTACAGGGACATATTAATGATGAATAAAGGATTATTTTACTGTAGTTCTTAGCAAAATATCAAGTAAGCACCACCGGCATTTTATTGGTGTCTATTATAAGTGATAAGCTGGGTTGTTTTAACCCAATGTTGAGTCAAATATGTACAAACCCATTGGATTAAGTTTTTTTTAATTATATTTAAACAATTTTTTAGCTGAACATTTGGGTTTCTCCATAATTAATCCAATGTTAAGTTAAAACAAACCAGCTTTTATTAAATGGACAACTTTTCTATGGTGGATAGTTTGCGCTGTATCTCACTATTTATTGTGTTGTACTGTGCAAAATTAGGGAAAAATTAAGATCAATGCTTCACAAAGTTATCTGTACAATAAGCTCCACCTTTTCATGCATGTGTACAAGAAGGACTTTTATTTAAAACACAACAAAACACAGTAGTAACATTCATTAGAAAATGTTACACATTGCAAAAATGTAGACTGATGCACATATGTTTACTGTGTCTGAGCTGTTTTTGGTGCTCATTTTCACACTTGACAGTGTGATGACATGTTAACTGTTCTAGATGTCATACTCAATGACCCGCTTCGCCATATATGAAACTGTGAGAGACCAGATAGCCAGTCAAAACCAGGGGCCCATGCCCTTCTACCAGAAGATTTTACTGGCTGCTTTTGGAGGTGAGAGTGTCATGGAAAACTTCTTGACTGACTACATAAATGGATAAATGGATAACTAAAAAAGACAAAGAGTTCTTAAAACAACTTGTTTATTGGTGTATTTTAGCAACTTTATTTGTTAAACAAGCAACATAGACTCATTCTGAAAACGTAGCCCTTTGAACATTTCTGGAAATCGCGAATTATGTAGCCAGTAGCCAATTTCATCTTTAAAATAAATGTTACAAGGCGGTGTGACGCCGTTCCTTTTTTTGTGCTTACCAGCTGACTCCGTACTTCTGTATGGATGGCTTTCCTGCTGTTACCAGTTTGTCCAGTAACTCAGCATGTATATTGGCGGACTTGAGATGCAGAGAGGAGTTGACTAAGACAACAGGGTTCGTGTCTGGTGAAAAACAGAAAGCGGGTAAGACTAAAACAGAAGACAAAAAACAAAATAAAAAAGTAAATAACAGGGTGAGAATGTAGTAAAATCTGAAATCTAGGTTTAGGGATGAAGGAGGTTTGGTCAGTCGATTGGTCAGTCAATCAGTCAGTCAGTCAACAGCAGGCTTTGGTGGATTTACGCGAGAACAGCAGGCGCAAATTTTGTGATCTCACAAAGCCTACACAGTGGCCTTTGGTAGATTTGCAAAAGCAAAACAACAAAAAAACGTCTTCTAGAACATATTTGGTGCTCTCTAGGAGTCTGTTCTTCGTTGGTCGATTACTCAGCTGGATTTGGATATTGACGATTTGACATTATCCAGGATCGTTTCGTTCTTCAAAACTCATCTAAGAGTTGTTGTCTTTTTTGCTATATATATATATATATATATATATATATATATATATATATATATATATATATATATATATATATATATATATATATATATATATAAAACGGATGCAATCTGCACTCTGAAATAAAAGTAAAAGACTCCCACCTGGTGGTTCAAAGAGAAAAATTATTGATTTTTTAAAAAGGATAATAAGTCATTGCAGTCATGAACGTGTTTTAACGTATATTTTTTGATGCTTTGCAAAAGTTGCAGACATCTTTACCGATATAAAAATGCTTTTTTGATGCAAAATTAATTATTTATACAGTTAATTCTTACGTTGATTTAAAAACTTGAGTAGGCCCATTGGCTACCTACTATAATAAAGAAAATCTCTATATGTAGAATTAGATGCATTGATGTGCATTGAAATATGATAAGTACTCTTCACACATGAAAGCGTAAAGCCAGAAGCCCACACCAACTGTGGAAAGGAATTTGTGGATTACATTTAACAAACCGTTTACTGCTAATTTTATGTCATTTTGCTGACATGGATAATTGAATATTAATTAGATGATATCATTTTGCTGCTGTGCTATCAGCCAATTGTTGCATTGCTGATCATGATTTCAAGGTTTGACAGATCTGTCCTTCACAACACATGCTGCGATCTCAGATCAGTTCATCCAAACAGTTTATTCTGATTCATGAACTTGTTTGAAGAACCAAATTAGCCAGAGATCAGTTATCAAGATTAAAAGATCTAGGATCTGCCAAATCATCTTAGATCATTTCAGCGAAGTACGAAGAACGCACCCCAGAAATGTATATAACGGTACGTTTCGAGAATGAGCCTGGGTTGTAAACAAGAGATAGCTTGATATCAAGATAAAACATTAGATGTAGTTCTAGTAATTTTAGCAGATAGCTTGAAATACACAGCAGTCTGTTCAAATTTTTATATTACAATGAATGACCTAAAACAACAAACATTGTCATGAAGGTCTTACTAACAGGTTCGAACTTTTAAATTTTCAAAAAAAAAAAAAAAAAAAACACCTTCCTGAGAAACAGAACTTGTTGTCCAGTCTATAGCTATTGAATAAATGCTCCCCAAAATGCTTAGACAATATAATTAATAATTGAGACTAGTGAAACCATTCACTATTTTACCTGCTTTAGAGCACAGGTTTCTAATTCGATTCCTGGAGGCCAGCAGCTCTGCACAGTTTTGCTCCAGCCTTAATCAAATACAGCTGATCCAACTAATCAAGGTGTTTAAGACTACGGCTGTTTCTTGATATGCGTTCTTAAGTGATCTTGCACCTTCGTGTTCTCATGTAACATCATCGTCAAACGCCAAAGTTCAATTCCAAAACTCAAAGTAGCAAGAATGGAGGATGCGTGATAGTTTCTGAGATAAAGATCCGAGTTATAACTTATTTGTCTTTGGAGTTTACCTTAATGAAATAGTAAAAGTAAACATTACCATGAAAATCTTTATAAAGGCATAAACACATTAAATTTGTTTGCTGAAATTCATATTAAAATTTGCTGTATTTGTATTATGCAACGTATACTTGTAAGGTCTTTATGCACAGCATATATTGTTAAAAGGGAGAAAACAATAAATCATTGTATGAATGCTTGAAATGCTAAACAATTTTCTGTTAAAAGAGCTGTAGTCCTCCAGGAACTGATTTTGAGACTGCTGCTTTCGAGCAAATCTGAAGAACTACAAGCACATTAGAAGCTTTAAATTTGTTGGAAAAACTCTGCAGTTCACTACATTACATATATTACTTGATCCTAAAATCTCCCGTATTTTATTGGGATAACACCTACATTCAAAATGGCTCACATATAAATGCAATGAAAATACTCTTATGATGATAAAATAATCTCTCTCGCATTTCTGTAATTAGTGAACATATGAAGAGTTCAGATGCAAAAACCTCTAAATGCCATCTGAATTTTTCTTCTAAATTGAGCATTTTTATCCGGCTCCTGTGCATAGGTTCAGTAATATCAGTTTTATGGCATAGAAAAAGCCCTTTTTGTGGTCTTAAAAATGAACTAACTAAAAATAAACAAAGGAGGCTGAGAAAAATATTCATTTTTCAATTTAAATTTTTGATGACACTTAAAGTTTTTTTTTCATCTAAACACTTCTAATATACTCAACATACATACACACTGTACATACAGTTTACTTCTGTACATAAACGTATGGGTGACAGCCTTAAACTTATGTGGTCTACTGAAATCTGTAAGATGTGTTCTACATTTCTCACATCTCTCTGTGTAGTTAAATTATTTGGTCCCACTTTATATTAAGTGTCCTTAACTACTATGTACTTACATCAAAAAAATAAATACAATGTACTTACTGTGTTTATAATTTATTTGAGAACACTTGAAGCGCTTTTGAGTTGGGATAGGGGTTGGGTTATAGACAGGTTTGGTGGTATGGGTAGGTTTAAGGGAGGGTTAAGGTGTAAGGGATGGTCAAAAGTGTATTTACAAGTGTAATTACAAAAGTTAACTACAGATGTAAATACATACATTTATTTAACCAAGCATAAGTACACAGTAAATACATGTATTTACACAACAAGTACATTGTAACAAACTATTAATTCCTGTGTAAGTGCATATTAGTTAAGGCCACTTAATATAACGTGGGACCAATTATTTTATGTTTGTGTTTAGAGTTACTTTATGTAGAAATAATTTAAACAGTGTTTTAAAAGAAGTATTTGCTTTTGTAAGATTTTTGGGACATTTTGCATGTGGTGTGTGTATTTTGTGTGTACAATTTTGAAAAATGGTTTCAAAAATTGTTTTAAAATTTGTTAATTTTTTTTTAATCTGTAGGTTTTACTGGGGGTTTTATTGGGACACCAGCAGACATGGTTAATGTCAGGTGAGTAAAAACTCATAACTGAAAAATGAATGTAACTCATGAATGAATGATGCTGTTGTGAATGCTTTGTGGTAGAGCAACTGAGTTTTAAATATTGATCATTGTCCCTTTTCCTCTACCATTTACTATAACAGAATGCAAAATGATATGAAGCTGCCTCCTGTGCTTAGAAGAAAGTGAGTCTCAAAGATTATATACTATACATAAAGCCAAAATGCTAATCATTCCTGAAAACATATGGTGTTTTGCAGCTATGCGCACGCTCTTGATGGATTGTTACGTGTCTTAAAAGAAGGTGAGAATAATCCATTTACAAAAAAAAAAAAAAGAGATATATTTGTCTACAAGAAATTGGATGAATAAGCTGCTTGGAAAACACTTTTTAGTATTTATATGTTGGAATATGAAAACAATTCCATGCGTGTTCAGTAAAAAAGTTAGTGGAGAGTTTTTTCTTCAATGTCAGAAATCTTAGTAATTTATTGGATACAAATGAATAATTTGATTCACAGAATTCTGATATCCCCAATGCAAAAGTAACATTCAGGAGGTGCACAACAACTGACTTCAATTTATATAGGCAGCTGATATTAACAGTTGGAGTTTAGTGAAATTCGTCACTTGTCAATCATTCTCCAGTCCTCCATTGGTCGCACCCATACATACATCCTCTTTTTCTACGTATTCTCTGCACAACATTAAAACCATAAGACTTTCTTAACTGCATATATTCTGTGTTCAGTTTCAACCAATCTCTGCTACAGGAAGTTTTGCTGCAGAGCTCAAGTTAATTTTAGACAAGCAGGCCTTTGCATTTCTATAAGCTTCATTTACTTCTGCAAAAATGCTTCATTAGTATGCAAAACATTTCACACTCAACAGTAAAAGTTCAGTTAATATAAACACTTTAAGCAATACAAAAACAATTGATTAATGAAATGTAAAAAACACAAGATTACACAAAAAATTCCACTTTCACAAGATATTCCACAGCAATATTTTGATGCTGGAAAAGCATGCATGCCAAAGTCTAAAATTTTAATCCTTCCAACAGCAATTTGAAAATGTGTAATGACAGATTGTGAGACTGTGCTACTTACTCATCCATCAGGAAAGAGAAAACAGACAAGGGTTGGGGTCAATTGAAATATTCATAGAGCTCTGGTTGTAAGTTCCCTGACTCACAACCTGCTATCTTTTCTAGAGGGAATACGGAAGCTGTTCTCAGGAGCCTCAATGGCAGCTAGTAGAGGGGCCTTGGTGACTGTGGGTCAGGTAATAAAACCAATTTCAGTTTTGCAATCACTGAATAGATTGCAGATAATCTGTTAGTTTTGTATAACTCACTAATCCTCACCCGCCTTGTGTGGTTCTTCTAGCTGTCTTGTTATGACCAGGCCAAGCAGCTGGTTTTGGGAACTGGTCTGATGACTGACAACATCTTCACTCACTTTGTTGCCAGTTTCATTGCGGTAAGTTATCCTCCTTTCCAAAAACCATTATTATTTTTAAGCTGTTTGTTGGTTTGACTTCATACACATGATTTTTTCCACCTTCTCTCTCAGGCCTACAATGAAACAGGATGTAAAACAATGTTGTTGATTCCACTTAGCAACATTTTTATGTTGTCTTTACAGGGAGGCTGTGCTACAGTTCTCTGTCAGCCCATGGATGTGGTGAAAACCAGACTGATGAATTCAAAGGGGGAATACAGAGTAAGAGTCTGCTTGAATTTCCCTTTTTTCATTAATCTTATAACAACCATACTAAAGTTTAAGGTAAAACATGTTTAAACACTTTTATTCAGTAAAGCTCGGGTCCCAAGTCTTGTCTAACCAGATCTCATGGATTTGCGCAACCTGGAATTGACTCTCATCCATAAACCCATGTCTGAAGTCTTTTTTTTTTATGCTGGCCTAACTTTATTTGGCCTAACAAACTTTGAATGGTGACCTGGCCTTTTCTCCTGCTAGTTTTAACTAGAAGCATACTTTCACTTTATCTTGTTTACTCAACTTTTAAAAAAACATCAGCTGCACTGACCTAAAATATTTAGTCAGTAAACATTTAGTTGGGTTAACATAAGATAAGTAGTTTTCTGAAGAGGTGAACTACTCTATAACAAAACTTTTTAAGTTGTGCCAATTGAACATTCATGCCTGAAGTTAAATGAATAAAAAAGTCTTTAGTTCCTTTCACTTTTCTCATGTAATTAACTTTTGAAAACATCAGTTGTGCTGACCTAAAGTGTCTAAAGTTGAGTAAACAAAAAAAAAAAAAAAAAACGTTTGGAAATTGGCACTAAGAAATAATACTTCATCAGAACAAGCCTTAAACATAGTTTAATTGAAAAAAAAAAAAAAAACGAACAAACAAACAAACTAACTAACAAACAAACAAACAAACAAACTAAAACAGTGACAAATGTTAACAAAACATTTATTAGACACAAAATTAGAAACAGGACAGGAACCAAAACAGCGGTAAACAAGACAAGGATCAAACATGACAGGACAAACAAAACCACTTTGTAATGCTTCACATGGAAAAAAAGACTCAGCAAAGAGTCTGTGAATGAAGGGTCTTTATAGTCCTAGTAATCAGCTTCCAGCTTTGAGCTTCCAGCTGTGTGTGTGTAATCAGGAGAAACTGGTTCCTCCATTAGAATATTAGTTGGAGCATTTGATTTGTCAGTTAATTATTACAGGATTTTACTGAGTTGTTCATGAAAATTAAATATCAGACCCATTTGATTTCTCAATTGAGAATGCATTTTATTATTATTTGATCTTTTTGAGCATTTGATTTGTCATTTGGGTAGTTGTTTCGAAAGTTTGATTTTCATTATTTTATTTGTTTAGGCATTTGAATTAGAATTTTGTTAGGAAAAAAACGTCCATGTATATATTCTTTGTTGATTCTATGATTTTCAAAATGCATCACTATTTTTTTTTTATATTGATTCTAGGCCTATTTTTTTTTTGTATTTTATTTTTACAGCAGATCATGCGCTAGCCTAGTCTTTAACAGCCGATGATGCTCTAGACATTTTTAACATTATGTAATGCTCTAGCTCCTTGCATTTTTTACACTGTTTAGTACAACTCATTAAGGTCTTATGTTCTCAATGTCCATGTAACGGTACATCTAATGCTCATTTAAATTCTTTTTTGTTGTTGTTGCTTGGTTTTCATGGTGTTGTAGTTCTTTATTTCACTAGTCTTAATGTAATTTGCGGTATTACAACTACAATTGAGACCAACATCTAGTCATCAATCAGAACTCTGTTATTGAACTGAATTGAATTGCGTGTGGTGAGTGTGACGTCATCAATGTGTTTGCGGAGGTTCGCTTTGGGTGAGTGCGACAGGATTTTCGTTTTGGGTGCAGAGCGCATGAAATTGTTTGAGACTTGAGTGAACAGTTAGCATGGCACCGCATTTGATGTCAGTTGAATATGAAACATTTTGAAGACCTTTTGTCTGAAACAGGTGTGCCTGAACAGACATCTTTAATCTCCATAAATGCGTGATAATAGAGATAACCAAATTAGCAATAATTTATGGCTAGAAATTGCAACAGCAGTTGGAAAGGAGGACAGTTTTTGTTAAAGTTTTAAAAATGCCTGAGGGATGTTAAAAACAAAAAGTAGAGGCCATGCAAAAGTTGAGACCCACGTGGTTTTAATATTACAGAATGTGTTTTTCCACCATTAATAGGTTTTACGATGATGTATATATAACAATTTTAAATTTAAAACAATTTAATAGCTACAAAACTTAAATGAAGTAACAAAGTATTTCTTTAATAACTAGAAAATAATATTTGAATCAGTTTAATAATAAAAAATATAATTGTAGAGCAACCCATGTTCTGCTGTCATTAATATTTTTATTTAATAGGTTGAACTGTCCGAGATATGAACAAAAGCAAGTGATACATCAAAATTTGATTAAAAAAATCTTGAAATCATTTAAACAAATTATAAAAAAATAATACAAATAATTAAAATTTAACATTTAAAAATTTTAAATGGTTAAAAAAATCTTTATAATCATTAAAATAATTTATAAAAAATATTTGTTTAAAAATCTTGAATGATGTTAATGATATGACTTAGTTCTGGAAACTTCCTACTTCTAAGTTTATCCATCAGATTTTTCTGTCGTTTTCTTTTCACTGCCACCTGTCGTTTTAAAGAGTATCACAACGGCGAACCCGTCAAGTATAAAAGCATTGTCTGTTTCATTAGGTGCACGCGGAGGTGTGTGATGTGGCACAAGGCGAAAGTATAAATCAGCCTTAAAATGTTTGTTTTTGTCCTATCGTTCAATAGTGCAGCTAACCTGTCTTTAGTACTGTTCAATTTGAGTAAACTTCATTTTCTCCTTATGTGTATGCAAGTTTTTGATATTGTGTTAAATGTCTTAAATTTAATACTCAGTGGTCTTTAAAAGGTCTTAAATAGTCTTAAATTTGACATTATGATATCTGCAGAAACCTTGTGTAAACCCTTATCACTGATTGGCCAATGAGAATTGTTTTGTGTTTATCTGTGACACTATTGTTTCTGTGATAGGGATTAATTCATTGTCTGTCTGATACTGGAAAACTTGGACCTAAAGCTTTCTACAAGGTAACAAAAAAATCATGTCATGAGTGTTAAATACTCTCAAGTGTGTGTTACAGTGGTAATAACTGTGTTTTATCTCTACAGGGCCTGGTCCCCGCTGGAATCCGCCTGATTCCTCACACGGTTCTGACTTTCATCTTCCTGGAGCAGCTCAGATTGTACTTTGGCATTAGAGTTGTTGCCGCTACTTGAACTCTGACCCAAAATCTCCAACCCAGGCTGATTGGAATTGTGTGCCCAGGGATACACTTTTGAGAACTGAGAAATATGTACAATAGACTACATCTTCTTGCAGCTATTAATTCACAAATCCACTAGAGTCCAACTTGTACATTTTTGACTATCTCAAATAAGTTCCTGGGGCACATTTTCTCATACTTGCCATTTCTCATAAATACACTATTTACATTCTACATATCTTAATGTCCTTCTCGCAGATGTCTATGAGAGAAGTCGGTCAGCTACTAATATATCTGCTTGATGTGTACTTAAACACCCACATTCTTCCTTAAACCCAACCGATTGTATTTTCAAAAGCGATCTAAAAGTGAAAAACCATTGTGGCAAAAAACTTTGACCACAATGTCATGCTGTTTGTTTTGGGTTTCATTTTATCTGGTTTTTACCTGGTCTTTCACTGGACTAGAACCGTGGTCCTCTCCACTTCGTGTCTCAAGTCGGACACAATTCATAGTGAGCTACTAAGCAAACCAATCATATCGGAAAAGCTGTCCAGACAGTGATACCGGAAGTACCGCTTCATAGCATTCATCTACACACAAAATGCAGGCATACTGTATGTACCCACAACCACATATTTCTCAATTCTCAAAAATGTATCCTAATGATCCTGTATTGAAAATCTCCTAAGGCTAGCATTAATTTCAGGAGATTGGATTACAAGTAGCTAGCACTAAAACCAGGTGTTAAATGGGGTCAAACACATGCTGGCAATGAATCACTGAAACCACATGCTTGTGACCAAAGGACCAGTAGTCACCAGGCAGTCATTCACTGTTCTAAAACAGTAGTCTCAAACAGTGACTTTGTCTAATGTGTGGCTTTATAAATAAAAAAAGTAAACTAAAATACAGTGGTGTGAAAAAGTGTTTGCCCCTTGTTGATTTCTTTTGTCTGTGTGTGTGTGTGTGTGTGTCACACTTTAATGTTTCAGATGATCACACAAATTAAAATATTTGTCAAAGATAATGTAAGTAAACAAATTATGCAGTTTTTATTATTAAGGGAAAACACAATCCAAAACTACATAACCCCATGTGAAAAGATGTTTGACATCCATCACCCCCCTCTCAAACACACACACACACACACACACACACACACACACACACACACACACACACACACACACACACACACACACACACACACACACACACACACACACACACACACAAATTCTGTGCACCAAAATTCCCTGAAGGAGAATATCTTTCCATCTGTTAGTGACCTCAAGCTAAAAACAAACTTGGTTTATGCAGCAGAATAATGATCTAAAACACATCACAAATCCACTTCTGAATGGTTGAAGAAAAACAAAATGAAGACTGGAGTGACCTAATCAAAGCCTTCACTTCCCTGAAATCAAATTGACATGCCGTGGCACGACCTTAAAAGGTCAGTTCATGCTCCTTCCAGTGTGGATGAATCACAACAATTTTGCAAACATGAGTGGGCCAAAGATTCCTTCACAGCGTTGTAACAGACTCATTGTAAGCAAGAAAAATTCTTGATTGCAGTTTTTACTGGCTAAAAGGGAGGGTAAACTCTCTTCTATGTATTTCTTGTATTTAGTTTTCCCTGATAATAAAACAAAAAACCTCTTCATTTCAAAACTGTATGATGTGTTCATTTGGGCAAACACTTTTTCACACCATTGTAACATAAACTTTAAATTAAACAGTTTAAAATGACACACCTAAAACTTACTATAAGCTCTTTTATTTGGATACAACGATCTTCTTAACTTTTTGGTTACATCAGCCAATATAAAAGTTAATGTCAGGTTTAGACAGGGCCAAAATTCCTTAAACTTTCATTTTTAGGGACAGTACAGAGATAATGTTTCTGTCCATCATGTAAAGCAATGGACCGTAGTTCCAACCAAGTACTGGTGAAGGAATTTCATTTCATGGGAGAAAAGGCACATAGTGTACATTTCTGCTGATGATGTGTACTTTTTTTTGTTCTTTGCAGTGCCATCAATGTTGACATTTGAGTTGCTTGCTTTTGATTATGTATTGCCATATTTATTGTATTGTACTGTTTTTTCTATCATTTGTTAGCTGTAGATTGTGTGATCTTGACTGTTTTCTTGATCTTGAGTGGTTTCTCCATGATCAGTAAAAAAAGTTTCATTTACCCAAAATATTAAACAAATTTGACAGTATTTGATCAATATGCACTGTATTGTTTCATTATGACAGTCTTAATATTTGGACTTTTGTATGTGTTTTCTGTTTAGGATTCATGTATATATTCATTGAATTCAATTGTTTATATTCAATATGCAAGCATTGTGAAATGCAAGAAAATCATGTTAAAATGAGTATCAAATCAGATTTTTCAGTGATGGGTTGCAGCTGAAAGGGCATCCGCTGCGTAAAACATATGCTGGATAAATTGGCATTTTTTTCCTGCTGTGGCGACCTCAGATTAATGAAAAAAAAAAATAATAATAAAAAAAAAATAATAATAATATATATATATATATATATATATATATATATATATATATATATATATATATATATATATATATATATATATATATATATATATATATACATATATATACATACATACATACATACAACACTACTATTATTATAATAATAGTTTTTTTTATGTTGGAGTTTTATGAAACAAGATTTTATTTATTAGTGATAGTTCATTATTTCATAAATGAATTCGTGTAATGTCCTCCAGGTGGCAGAAATGCATTGTCACTGTAACTCGTGATAGTTCAGTTGCAGTCATGGGTGAAGGTGTCAGCATCTACAATACACATGCCACTGGGATAGGACATAATCACAATAATCAGCATCAATGTGAATAATTAATCTGCTCTCATCATAATATAAGGCTGTGCATGTTTTTGTATAATTTTATTTTTCAGAATCTCTGTTCTGCTATATTTCCAACAGGGTCCTGCCAGGACAATGTACATTCTCAGAAAAAAGGTAGATGCTCTCACCGGGCCTGTAGTACTCAGAGTTGTTGTACCTTGCTAAAACAAGGTACTAAATGTGCTCTCTTGGGGTAGAAACTCCTTTGTCAAGTACATTTTTGAAGGCCAGTCAATGCCTCAAAAAAAAAAAAAAAAAAAAAAAAAATGTATATATATATATATATATATATATATATATATATATATATATATATATATATATATATATATATATATATATATATATATATATATATATATATACCTGCCTATATAATTTATGTATATATATATATGATGTCATTTCATCTGGCAGGAAACTCTGGAAGGCATCCATCTCTCATTATTTGAACAAAATGGTAGATAGTATATTAACTATATATATATGTATATATTTTTAGATTTATAACTATATTTCATTAAATTTCACACTTTTTGAAAAACAATAATATAAAAATACATAAAATTCAGTTTTAGACATTCTTCATTTTTTCAATTTATTTGCTACTGATAGATTTGTAAATCTATTCACTATAATTAATAATATAAGGAGGAATATATATTTTTTCAAATATTTTTTTTTGTATAAACTGTATAGGGACACTATGTGTAAGTATACTTTACTGTGCAATTAAAAAAAAAATATTTGACTCAATTCATGCTTATTACTCAAGGTGGCAGTGTCTGATACACAATCATAAAGTGATTTTCCTTCAATTACATGAAACAAAAGTATCATCAGCAAAGCTAGAAATGGCTTCACTGTGCATAATAAAACATATGTGTCCCTGCACTTGATAGTGGATCTTGTAAACAAGATGACAACAATCAAACACTTGATTTTGAAAATGTTGGAATTTGGAGAAATTTTTTTTTTTTTTGAGAAAATAGCTCAGCCAAAATGAACATTTACTCACCAAGAGTAACTGGTAACCACTGGCATCCATTTCCGTTAGCATCCAAAACAACAACAACAACAACAACGAACAAAGACAAAAAATACTATGGAACCCATTGTCGTTTTAGATCATGAAACTATAATGTGAAATGTGCTCTAATAGTTATCTTAACACACACTACTTAAATCAGAAGTGTCCAAACTCAGTGGTGGAGGGCCGGTGTCCTGGAGAGTTTAGCTCCAACGCTAATCAAACACACCTGAACCAGCTAATCAAGCTATTATTAGATATACTAGAAACTTCCTGGCAGGTGTATTGAAGCAAATGTTAGCTAAACTATGCAGGAGACCAGCCCTTTAGAACTGAGTTTGGACACCACTGACTTAAACTAAAGTCTTATGGGTTCCAAAAGGTAACTAAATACGCTTTAGCATGCTTTTTGTAAGTGATTTTCAAATATTGGGAGAAATTTAAGCTACTGCAGGAGTTAAAGCTATTTAGACCTAAATATCTAAGACAAACTTTGCCTCATGTGGATTAACTTGCTTAGATTAATTTAATGTTAATGCATTAACAAATTAAACACTGTAAATTTTGAGTAGCCTACAGACTTTCAACATCATGGGGGTAAAATCTATTATTTGCTTACTTGTATATTGAAATTCCAAGAGGTTTGCTTTGTTTGAGGCCTGCTGTACATAGATGATGATATAATACAGTACTTAAAATATTTTAAATAAACAATTCTGAATAGACCAGGCATATAATATACTAAATGTAGTATAATGTCACTAAAAAAGTACAAAATAGAAATATAGGGCAATAATGATATAATACATTCACCATTCACAGGCCTTTTTTTTGAACAGCAGTCAAGATAAATTCTTGCTACTTCACCTAAACGTAGAAAATGTGCTGATATAATGTGGTGACAAGACCCCAAGAGTGCTGTTCATGTGTTTTGTTTGCATTTTCATTTCCCAGATCCAATGTATAGGAATTCTTACGGCCTCTTTACAGAGAAATCGGTCCAATGTTTCCACATTATTCCCACAATTGAGGCAATTGTGTGTGGAACACTAAGATGTACAATGAGAGATGTGCTGTGAGAGATATATGAGGTAGTGTGAAAGATGGTCTAATCTCTTTTCCAATCTGTCTGGTCTTTTTGCTGTCATTTTTTTTTTTTTTTGATCTGGTTGAAAACCTTAAATAACTTGGTTGAAAAACAACATACATCTGTATAATCTCCATGTGAGTTATCAGTTTCATAGAACAAGTTCAAAGCTTTTGAAATCTACAGACATCATCTCGCTATGGCTTGCAGGAACTTTTCTGTTTTATCTTTTACATTTTTGCTATGTTAATTTCCACATATAACACCGTTGTTAACCCTAGAGAAACATTTCTATTCAAGGCATTATATAGGTATTTTTATTGATTATCATATAATAGTTGATTATTTTTACTTATGGTCTATAATGCTTTAATGGATGTGTGCTTTTATGCTTTAATCCTATGTTAAAACTCAAAGTGGAAAATACCTCCAGAATGAGCACTGCTGAAAACATGGCTGGTCACTAATGCACTGTTAATAACCAGTAATCTAGATAATATAATTTTCTGAATCAACTACAGGCCCTATTGGTATCAGATGGTAATGCATCAGAAGTCTTGCACATTCACAGAAAATAGCTTATTGTGTTATTTAGTTATTTTTTATTAATCATTTGTTTAAATAAGGTGGATAAAGAGGGGTTTGATCCATCTTGTAATTCAGAGATCCACAATTGTTGACCAACAACTGTACACATACCCAGTGGTGGAAAGAGGACTGAAATTAAAGTAAAAGCATCATTACCATTTTCCCAAAAATGTAGCGCAAATAAAGAAAAATCTGTTGTAAATAATACTCAGATGAGAAAAAGTAGCCATTTTAAACGTACTCTAGAGTAGTGAGTATTGAGTATTATGCTGTAAAAAAGGTGAAACATTTACCGTACATGCAATTTGTGCATGTGTGTGCAAAGGTAACATTCTGTAGTGCATTTAGTTATTGTCTAAGACTATTTCGTCACCTTGGAATTATAAGGTTCTATCTGCGTTCTGAATGATTTTGAGATATTGAGCTTCAAAGTTTTAGCATTCCATAGCAAACAATATGTGTGTAACATTTGTTTTTTTAAATAAAAAA